GGCTGTTATTATTATTATTGTCGTTATGATATTGTTATTGTTATCTTCAGTTGAACAATGTGAGTGTGTGTGTGTGTGTGTGTGTGTGTGTTGTTTTCTTGTCTTGAATTAATGAGTTATTTAACATGGGGAGCATTGACAGTGTATGTAAATGTATAATGAGCCTCCTGTTACAGGGGATCTGTGAAATAAAGCTTTATGAAAGGGGCCGGCCTCCCTGCATTCATTTATGTTTATGTGTTATGTTACATGTTATATGTTTACATTAGACACCTTCAACCCCAACAGTGAAAATACTGAAATAACTAATACTGTGAAGTCATGTTAAAAGTAACTAAATACATTTACTCATGTACAGATTTCCCTATTTATGCTCCTTTACACATCTACTACTTTACCACATTTCAAAGGGAAATATTTTCTACTCGATTACATCGAACATCTATAGTAACTGGTTACTTTGCAGTTAGGGTTAGGGTAACATACAAACCTATGATGAGCTTATAAAATTCACTGCATTGCTTTGTTAATAAACCCAATAGTATATTAATGTAAGTTAAAATACCTCAACCAGCATCAATATAAAACTGATCACATGTTATTACATAAAATATAACCTACTAATGTAATAAGTAGATAATATTATAGCACTGACAAGAGACATTATTCTTTTACATTTAAGAGATGACTCGTACACATTAATTCATCAATAATTATTGTTCAATAATAATATGATTCTGAAATGGGTCATTCTGCATTATAGTATTTTTAGTATATTATATTTATTATATTTAGTATATTATATTTATTATATTTAGTATATTATATTTAGTATATTTAGTATATTTTCATGCTGATACATTTGTACTTTTTACTTCAGTAAAATTTTGAATGCAGGGTTAGTTGAACTTGTAATAGTATTGAGGTATTACAACTTTAATGAAGTAAATCTTTTCAATACACCACTGAGTTTAACCATAGAGTGTGTATAATGTTGCAGAGTTTACTGCAGTTACAGTCTGATCCAGCAGGTGGCAGCACTGCTTTCAAATGTGAAACTGTCTGCAGTCAGTGTGCTCTTCGAGTTGTGCTTTACTCTTTTTCTGCACCTATAAACACAACTTCACAACTCTTGTGGTGCATATAGATTATGATTATAGATTATTATCATAGATGATGTTCATTTATGTGTTTCTGTTCACCTTATGTATTTTTATGGAGTCAGAGAACAGAAAGAAACTGATCATGACAACTAAAGGAAATCACTGTAACAGTGCATCTTAAATTAAAGTGATCTTCAGGGTGAAACTAGACAGAAGATTAATAATGTAGTTACATCACTCACCTAAACCTCAGTTTTAATCTTGTCTCCAGAAATAATGTGAATTTAATCCAAAAGTCTGTTTTTCATAAAACATGTTGTGGACATGTGGGACAGGATCAAGAATGAGGACCATTTAAAAACAATGAGAAACTTCTTGCTTTATTAAAATCATGTATGAAATAGTAAAGAAGAAGTAAAGAAGATGAAGATGAAGATTAGGGCAGTTGAATGAATGTCACTTTGTTCAGGATTAAATTGATTACCTACACCTTAAATATTCAACAGTGATTTATCACATGGCCGTAAACAGTCACCGATGTGACCTGTAAACCATATTTCAGCTGATTTTGAATCCAGGAATAGGAACTATTCAGGTTACGCTGTGGTTTCTAGTTGTTTTATTTGTGTAATGGACACGAGATTGAGAGAACCTGATCTGCTGGATTTAAATCCTGGATTTGGAAACAACTACTTTTTCTTTCTTTGTCATTTTGCCTTCATTTGAACAAACGTGTTGAAGCAAATGTCTCTAAAACTGGATTTGATGTATGAAACAGTGACAGAGTCTAACAGGTTCCCTCTGTTTTCAGGAGCAGCCGGTGTTTGTCGAGTCGTGGCTCTGGGCTGCACAGATGTGAGAAGTGATCTCAGACAGCTCTGTGGTTTGGTCCAGCCAAAGGATCAAAGCTGTGTGGTGGGATTTTCTGTCCACTTGCTATGATGCACTGTAGCAATTAAATGTGAGAAACCTTGAGGTCTGTTTTCCCTCCAGCTCTAGGTAACTTTGCCCACAAACAGAGCCCTCATTGCTGCAGAAGCCCATCAGTCTCAGTCTCAGTGCATCTGTCACTGGGTTGTGAGCGAATCAGACGTCTAACAAAATACACTGGACCTTGTTTCACTGTGACCACACTGCCATCTGGCACAGAGATGTGACCTGGATGTATCTATTTGCTTTCATTTGGATGTTGATCTTATAATTAGAAAGTTTACTCACCGTACAGTGCAGCGCTGCACACAAAGATTCACATCATGAATCATGAGACCTCTTTCACGTCCCTGTACTGGGTAGAGCTACATTGCAGTTCAGGGTTGTATTGTTCTAGTGTTTATTGTTTCAGTTTGGTTCCATCTGAACATTCAGGTTCTTTCAGGTTTTAATGTAATCCACATTATGGTGCAACATGTTGAAGGGGGTCTTTCCAGTTTCAGTATTTAATCCTGGGGTATCGAGTTAGCCAGGTTTAGGATGTGGTCTAATGAACAGTGGTTTTAAATTTGAGATGTGAGATACTGGGGGAAAAAAAAGATAAATCCTTTTTACTTTGGTGATCCTCAGAATTCCAGAGGTTGAGGTCTATGATTTTGAGTGAAATTTCTCTATTGGATGAATTTCCATGAAATTTAAATGTTCATGTCCCCTGGTGGATGAACCCTCAACTGACCATTAGCATCATTATCAGGTCAAATACTTTGGTTTATGACCAAACACCCGCCAAACAAATGACAATCCCCTCAGTGTCTGCAGCCTGCTCTGTGTTTCATGTTCCTGAACAGTTGGGATTTTTGCATAACCACCTTATTACATACTGTGATATGAAAAGTATCTTCAGGTCCAACAATGTGAGGTCACGTTAACCCAGGTCATTTCCTTCTTTTCAGGCTGATATTTCTGTCCCACATTGACCCACTGGTTTATGAACTAATCAACATGGAGCCAGAGACCAACAGAAGAGCTTCAGTGTCTCTTTGAACGGCCAGAGCTGAACATGACGTTCAGCTACTTAAATCTGGACTTCAGCCAAAAACAACAGGATACAAATCTCAAAACACGTCATGACTCAACATGCCCATCCTTCACAAGACAAATGAATTGTCACTGTCAACTTGATCTGTCAAACTCATGCACTGTAAAACCCGATAAGTTAATTTAACTCAAAAAAATTGATGAAACTGATTACATCGAAATTTTAAGTGACATAACTGCATTTTTTAAGTTAAAGAAGCACTATGTATCAAGTAGCTTTTACAAGATAATTTCAAGTGATACTAATTTAATTTTATAAGTTAAAGAAACATTATTTTTAAGTAGCTCTTACTGAATAATTTTAAGTGACAATAATTTATGAAATTAAGTTAAAAAAACATTGTAAATTAAGTTACTTTTATGCAATATTTTTCGTTCATAGTACAAATTACATTCAAGTATATATAACTTAAATATTTCTATTACTTTTATCATAAAGTATTTGATATCACAGTACCAGATTATTCACTTTATGTTAGCTTAAAAATTTCAGATGGTGTAAATTATTTTCTGAAACCGATTACGTAAAATGTATTAAGTTACTTCCACTCACTGAGAGGAGATTGAGTGGGGTGCCCTCAATGTCTGGTTCATCAGACTGTGTCACCTGAAGGCAATGACAGAACTGTTACCTGTTGCTCTAAATTTCCAAAGCCTGATTGATGGCAATTTAGATTTAAAAAAAAAAAAAAGTTGATGTAATTATTCCTCATAAACACAATTAAGCTGCGATGACAGCAGTCCAGATTATAATAATGGTATGTAAACTTAACTTTTCATTTAGCTTTTTAACTTAATGAAAAATATATATATTAAATTCAGCATTTGAACAACTGAAACAATGTAACTCTTTGACAGATCAATTGTATTCCATGAAATGACATATAACACATTGTAAACAATATGGTAACTTAGGGAGAGCACGAAGAACAGCAGCACGTCTGACCTGGACGTCAACTCTTTCCTTCATTGAGAACATATTCTTGATTTACTGTGGATGCTAATCAGCACAGCCACACAATACTATGCATCACCCTACCATGTTTTTATAGATGTAGATGAGAGTTTAAAGGACCAGTGTGTACAATATAAGAGAAATCCTGTAGCTCTACACAATTTGAGTCGCTGTCCAATCTGAGTCTCACTGTGGAAGCAAGCCTGCCTGCGACCCTCAGAAGCACTTATCTCAATATGCCAATCCTGATTGGCTGGTGTACATGTCCGTCCACACCCGGTAGTGCCACCTACCATAAATACTGCATGCGGCGGACACAGCGCCATTCAAAAACCTCTTCTAACCCGGAGCGCATCTCGCATCAAGGTTAGCTATCTTAACTGTCCACTTCCTGATCTGGGGTCAGCCCTATGTTCCCACATTTCTAAGAATGTTTTGAAAATTAGGCCCTATTTTCCCACAGTCTTATATGTTCCCATAAGCCCATGTCCACACTAACCGGGGTAATATTTATCCGGTTAATTCCGAAACTGAAAACGATGCTTTACAAAAACGATGGCTGAGGTGGATAAATGTGAAGACGCCGTGGAACGTGGATGCAAAGCGTTCTGAAAACGATTAGTGTGGATGGAGATCGTTTTCATTGTGAATGTGCATTTTTATATTTACCCGGGTTAATGTGGACGAGGCCTAAGATTTTTCTCAAAAGGAAACCCTATGGTCCCATATTTCTTAACATAGGGCTGTGGGAACATAGACACGCTCCCACGGATCTTACCTAGCTTCTGTCGCTGGGCGCTAGATAACTCCTATCCGGTCACACCAGATTGGATTCGATGTGTTTACCTCGCCCTTCGCGGCTTGGTTTCTGCATCTCTGCTCCTCTCCAAGGTTGCTTGAGTGCAGCTGAGTGTTAGGTTCAGCTAATCTCTCGGCTATCTGATTAGCATACCAGCTAGCTACCTCCACCCCTGCCCCCTGCGAGGAATGGAGACCAAAACTCCTCACACCAGAGGTAACTAAGACCCTGGGGCCCGCGCTTCTTGTTGGAAATAAGATTTTGAGCAAGGACACACATCAGGGTGGCTCGTGCTGCTTAGGGCTGGAACATGCCC